GCATCAGTTCAGCACAGTTAACGTGGACCGTTTACGGGGTAGGTTTGGCGATATTCCACTAGGAACATGAATTTTATTTAATTATTTTTTCTGAGTATTTTGGAGCTCAAAATCTTGCCTCACATTAATTTTCCTGAATAAGGCTTACCAAAAATATTGCGTATAATTTGTATAATGTGTATAGCGTATCATTAGGCAAGATGGCAACGTATCGTAGAGAATTCCTCAAAACAATTAAACGCCTTAGTTTGTTTTGTTTTTTCTTTCGTAAACTGTAGATCCACAGACAAACAGACGTAACTCTTCATTGTGTATCTTCGTTCACGCATTTAACGGTTGATTTGAATATTATCAGTTCCGCGAACTACTCGCCGCAGCGCTGGCATCGGATTACTTTGACGTTTCTATATCTGCTATAGAACTTTTATGCAATATTGTGTGCGAGTTAGCGAGCAAGCTTGTTTTCCGCGAGAAGCCCGAGAGATGTCGTTACTGAGGTTATATGTTTTGAGATACTATGCATTCAAGAAAAACTTTTTCAATGAGTTACGTCTGTTTGTCTGTGGTAGATCTATTCCACAATGTATTTCCTCTTTCGATGACAAAGAACCAACCAGCGCTGTCATGTTTTATGCATTCTAGTCACCTTAGCAAATCTAACATTTTTGCACTCTGTTCGACAGTGCTGTCCAATGCGCAGAAGTTTTCCAACTCCTAGAGTTGATTTACTTTGAACTGTCGTGGTGGGATGAAAATATAATCCATATTCATTGTAGATGGGTCCAGTTCACTAACAATTAATTAATTAATTTAGCTTTATTTAGGAGGCTTTCAGCCTTAGGCTGGTTCGCCTCCGCAGTTCACTAACAATTTCATCTGCTGTAGCCGGTTCATCGCTTATAATTCATGCTGAGTGTGCCCGGCCTTGCTCGCGATTCAATATTAGCTTGAGTTTATGCACCAATTTAAAAAAAAAACATACATTGCGTGAGTGACTACCGACTGAGTCGGACGTGTGTGCTGTTTGCGGCTGCGTTCAGTGCTGTTGCTGGTTCGAGGAAAGTGTTCGACGGAAGGCTGGTCCGGTAATACGGATTAGGAGGCGGATTGGTGGAGTGATACGAAGATAAAGTGGTGGTTAACATCCGCAGGTGATGCGCTATAATTTGCGTGACGGTTTCAATCGGTGGCGGTGATAGAAGAAGAAAGAAAAAGCGTGATTGAGACTGTTTTTGGCAGGATTGCTGCTGAAGGGGCGAAGGTCTATGCGGGGAGGCCCAGTGTGCATATGTGTGCGAGGGGAGCGCTAGGGGAGTTGCGTTTAAGAGTGGAAATTGTGGATTCCACGCCGAACGGTAGCGATAATTTCGAGTGCGAGAAGGCAGGAAAGAGGAAGAAAAGAAGAAGCTGATAGTACGGGAAAATAAAAAGCCAAAAATATAGCGGCAAACAGTAGTGTGTGAGTGAGCACCCTAAAGGAATACAGAGTAAAGCGTCGGTGAAATTCTGTGAGACGAAGAGAGTAGAAAGAGAAGCAAAAAGAAAACGGTGAAAGAGAGCGGCAGCGGTTTTAATGCAGCGACAACCGATAGTAGGAGAGTGAGTGCCACATAGGTGTTTCATCTTCTCGTAGTAGGGGTTAAAAGAGAAAAAGAAGTAGAAGAACAGTGAAGTCCGACCGCAACGCGGTCCGCAAGAAAATAGTTTCCCTAGAAGCCCTTCAATTTAGAGAAAAGGAAGAAAGTGCTGAGTGGTTGCGATGATGCGCGTTGGTGGGGTAACCTCCAACTAGGTCGGCCAAATGTTGTAAAGGATCGTGATCGGATTTACCGGGAAATACCGATTGGAGCTTATGACCATTAAGGACAGGTAAGTAGTTGGTCCATCAAGGTAAGATAAATTAATAAACATATAAAGTATCCGTTCGATTTTGGCAACACGTCCTCAGTATATTTAAACTGCTTGTGCTCTGCAGTTATATTATTAAATTCTGTTTAATAATTTTCTTAGATTTTCAGTAAAATTGTGGAGCTTTAAACGTCACCTGCAGGCCAGTTCTGCGAGTAGTATGGCTCTCTGTCGCTAGTAGGGTGACGGTGGTCGCCTCGTGTGAGGTAACTCTTCATTTGATTGCACGGAGAGTCACCCCACTAGTGCGTGACTTTTGTTGACTCATTGGTGGTGGAGATTCGCACGACTCGCGGAATAGGTCAGATGATAATATTTGCATTTATTAAAAATTTTGAAAGGCTAAGAAGTCAAAATTGTGTTGACAAAATCTAACGGGTAATGCCGATATAACTATATATATATATATATACACACATTAAATGCAAAGGGGAGGGATGGGACCACCAGGGCACCGGATTGAAGCGATTTGGATGGGGAGAGTGGAATTGCCAACTCCCTGTCATTAACATTTCGTGAATTGACGGCGGGCTCTTCTCCCCACTCATTGGGACGTTCCCTCGTATGATGGCTTGTTCTACATCGGGTTGTAGGATTTTATCATTGGAAGGCGATTCTCCTGATCCCGCGGATTGCGCGTAAGTGTATCTGCTTACGGGTCCGCCCCTCCGTTTTTGGCCCTTCTTACAATGGTAAATTGAATACAACCAGGTATCGTACTTGATCAAGTCATACTTGGAGGATGATCCACTGTCTAATGGCTGTGCCTTGCAACAATGAGTGGTATCATTTACATACATACATACATACATAAGTTTGCTCGGAAACTAATGATTTGCAAGGAATCTGGAGTTGTGGCCTTAAACCAAGGTTTTCATCACATCTCACGCAATGACGTCGAAGGTTTACATTAAAGAGTGTCTGAAAAAAAGGAATTTACCCTTCATTCGGCAACACAAGACCAACGTTTTGTTTTGGCTGGGTCTGGGTGGCCAGCTGCCACTACTCTAATGAGGTACTAGAATTGTATGCTGCAAACAATGTTAATTTCGTCGCTAAAGAGATGAATCCTCTGAATTGCCCTGAGTTCAGACCGATCGAAAAATATTGGGCAATTGTCAAGCGAAAACTTCGAGGATGCGGTAAAGAAGTGAGAAATGCACAACAAATGCGTTTAAAGTGGAATAAGTTCGCCGGTACAGTGTTACCAGCGACTGTGCACAAGTAAAGTGTGACCGTTCGTTCGAAATGGTGAAATGTAATAACTTGTTATATATCGTTTGAAAGCTGAATAAATACCCTTTTGTTTGACGTTTTGATCAATCGTGTATGTTGTTTAATTCTTGAGTTATGATAACTTGAATGCGTCCAAATTTACTTTGAATCGGGCTTTAGCGCCCGTCATAAGTAACATAAAAGTGAAGCGCCTCTAGCGGCGTAGTTCTCAATTAAACATGAATCCAATGACATAGGCTTGTTGGTCTATCCCAGTACAACAACTTTGTCCAAGACAGTATAGCTTTATATGTTGAAATAAATGAGATAATTCACCACAGCCCCCATTAGTGAAAATCCCATAAGCTGTGGGCATCCTTATTCGTGATTCCTTATTCGCGCCTCCGTTACCCCGGCAATAAGGATTCCTGAATGTATATTTAGACGTACTCCTGATCCGGTTCGAAAGACATTGTTAACTACTTTGGAGGATTTCATTTCATTGTAATAGCTTCTTGTAACCGATAATGAACGACCGTCGATCGTAGCTTGTTGTGATGTAAGGGGCACGGTGGCCTAAGAGCGACCGTTTTTGCTTACTGAGCAGAAGATCGTGGGTTAGAACCCAAGCTCCTTTACATTACTGAGTTGTTAGGGTCGCGTCATTTGCTTAACAGGCTCTAAAAGATCGCATCACTTCCCAATGTGAATCCAGCTCTAATTTACCCTTCCCACTAACGAAAACGTCCTTCCCGTGTCAACCGTGGAGATGCTGAGGTATACTTGGTCTCTAGTAACAACGGTTGTTGAAATAACAATCCTTTCCCTCCCCGATGACCGCAAGGACGTGACCGGCACCGTTGTTGACCTCATAAATAAGGATTCTCCGGATTGCTAGTCCCAAGCCCCATTCATATGGTTCTTTGTGCCAATTTCGCTAAATCTGGTCAATCACGGAGTAGCAACTACTGAAATGTATGGTCTTCAATGTTCATGCTCATGCTCATGCTCAAAAACTGAAATATCTCAGAAAGTGTACCTTCAATATTTATAGTTTATTTTTTAAGTAAAGTTCACCTCGCGGAGCAACTTGATCCCGTTTTACGATACCATCATTGGGATATCAAATTTGTATATATTTAGTAGGTTAGGTACACACTTGGAAAAAATTCATGTAAATTTAGGTGCTCTGAGACTGATATATATGAGCGTCAATTATGATATAAAATTTTTATATAAGAGACGTGAAATACAGATCAATCAAATATACTTTTCGTCGAGTAAAGAACTTTTCAGTCTCGAAGCACCTAGTTTTACATGACATGTTTGTTTGCGTCTCATCCTTTATGTCAATTGATGTCAAAGATGTCGTTTATGTAATCGATGTTAAATATGGATTCCTTGACGTGTAAAATTAGTTATTTCTAAGTGTGTACTTTAAAATTATTTCTTAGGTCCTCTATAAGCAAACAGTGTTCATGCAACTTGAAATTAACCCTATCCCCAAGCTCCTCCACTTTTACTATCCTTCGACAATGTATCTTTTTAACCTCGGGTAAGCCGCGAGTATTCGGCCCAGCTCCTACTAGCCATAGAATTAAGTGAATTTTGTTACAAACAAAGAACAATTAATTATCGGCTCCGTAATGCAAACGCGATTGAGCCTTACAAATAAACGAACTAGATAAAAAAAAATGCAACTTAGAACAATCAAACACGATACAAATGTCAAAGACGAACAGCACTAGGCCTAATATTTTAAAATCTAGGAAGGAAATAACACAAAATTGTCCTGATTATCCAGCGGAAAATTGTAGCAACGAAACCACTGAATGAACGCTGGAAACGGTATGAATATGTTGTGATGTGACATGATGATGCTGCTGTGTGCGTGTGTGTGTATAAATCGTCAGTATCAATGGGTTCGCATTGGCAAATCGCAGGACTGCCTTTCACTCTAAAAACCTCTAAGCATCTGCCGATGAACCTGAACGAAGACCTGAAAAGAAACGAGGTATCACAGTTACAAAAGTTACACAGTTCCTCTTAAAATTGGTTCATGCTTGTCAAGAAGACATTTTATTAGCGATAGCTTGGTAGTCATGGCTTACTTATTTACACGGCTTTAGCAAATTTATACATATGAGCGATTTGATTGTTACACAGCCAGCTGTAATTTGAATGCATTTTCAATTTCATGTAAGCATCGCAAAACACCTAAACGCGACTAGTATTACCGAAATCGGCGAAGCAAGACCGCAGCGATTCCTCAGCCAAGTGTGTCGCCTTGAACGGAGGAACTGCCACCTGGTAGAACATGCTGATTCCCTTGCTGAGTAACTGGGCCGCTTCCTCAACGCGTTCCTGGGACATCTTTTTGGCTCCTTCATCGTACAGATCCTCGCACTGACGTAGAATCTTGAAGGCACTTTCAAAATTGACACTCCTGTTGCACTTGAAGCACTTGCCCTTTGGTGCATAGTTCAAAAGCCCGGTGCAATCCGGATGTGGGCAGCGGAGTTTCGGCTTCTCCGTTAGCTTTTCCAGCATAGGCCAATCCTCGAAGCAAGCCTTACAGTCACATTTGAACCAATAGCGTGAACGGAGCACCTTCTGCCTCACTGGCAACGGTTGCCGCAGGAAGTGCATACCATAGTTTTCCGGAACTGAATCGCCCTTGGCCAACGGTCTACTGGTGTGGAGGACCATGGTCGTTTTGAGGAAACTGCGAGAAACACCAGAATGGCAATCATGATTCAACATCGCTCCGGTTTTGTAAACTCCCACTCCGATGTACTGGACCTTGGCCGAATCGATCCGATGATCTCCACCGATCTTTAGCTCGTAGATCTCGTGAGCGTTGAACTGAAGCGATTGAAGCAACTCCAGAATCACTCCACCAACTTTGGCTTCCTGTGGGGTCGGCTCGGCTGCTTCCGTTTTGCGGCGACCGAAGAACTCCGCCTTCTGGAGGCACCGCAGCAGAAAGGCAGCCATTAAAGTTCGCCGGAAGTAGTCCTCCTGATTGCGGTGTTCTGCGTGAGCACACAGTCCCAAATCGTTTGCAATTTCGATAGCCTTTTCGGGCGTACCGGCTTGGGTGACCAACCGAAGCGCCAAGTGACAGAGGATGGACATGCCGGAACCAATCATCAGATCCATGAAGTGACACTCGAAGCGATGATATCCGGCACAGGCCAGATCTCGGCACTCGGGGGAGCAGAACGCCACACCACAGCAGTCCAGGCAAGGGACCGAGGCACTCAATCTGGAGGAAAAAAAAATGATTTAGCATAAGCCCAATGTGTTGACTAGGGTGATTCATTTTGAAAAAAAGTGATAGATTTTTTTGATTCATAAATCCGGTGTGCATAAAATGATGGGAATTATTATGGAAGCACTTTAAATTAATTACTATCATATATCGCTCTAACTCAAGTTGTCCAAAATAAATATGAGGTTGCTATGACAACAATCAACAATCTAGTTGTTGTTAGGGTCAGTTTGTCAGCAGTTAAAGAAAATAAGGTAAATTGATGGCTGAAAATATTATCAATGAGCTTGTTGATAATTGTCGTGGCAACCACATATTATAATTTTTTCAGCCTTTGGACAACTAAAACCAAAGTTAAAATTCATAATTTCAATAACTTCAAATCATTTGCGCAACCCCTCAACCTTCTTCAATCATTACCATTTTTTGCACAGACTCATATTTCGAGGTTATAAATCAAACTGGATAAGAAATCTAACACTTTTCTAAAATGATGAACTCCAATGTTGACAACCCAGCAGAACTCTTACTTTGTGAAACACAGATTACAATTCGTTCCGAAAAATCTCGGATACAGACACGCTCCATATGCCGGTTCAACCAGTACCGTTTCTCCTGGTTCCAGATCTTCTGCCGCCACAATGTACCGTCCCTTGATGGATTCATCACGCGTTCCACTGAGAGTGATCTTCTTCGAAGCACCTTTCAGCTCTTGACTCGCCCCTCCAGCAAGTTCCGGGAGCATTGGTTTCGGATCCTGAGGCTTCATAGCAGTGTCCTCCGCTTTCAACGTTCTCAAATCATCCAAATCTTCTCGCAACCGCTGCAATCTGTAGTCATCGAAACCGGCCAGCTGGTGGAACAGCTTGGCCGAGACTTCTGCGCGTTTCATGTCATCCATCACTGAAATACATATCCCGTTAACATTGTTTCCCTGAAACTTAACCAAACCAAGCACTCACATGCATAACACTTGGCAATCTTGCCATAGTACTCGCCGTTCGCCTTCACCGGGAAGCCCGCTTTGGCCGCCATCTGCAAGTCCCGCAGTGCATGTTTTCCGTCCAGCATCCGAATTAGCACTTCGGCCCTGGTCCAAAGTGCACAGGCCAGCGTCAGGCCCTGATCGATGTGCAGATCGACTCCCTGGGCCGGTGCCTTCATAACCGCTTGACTGGCCAACATCATTGCCTGTTGCATCTTACCTTCATTCAACACCTTCGTGGCCTGCTCGCGACGCTGCCAGCTAAACTTGGCATCCTTCGCACGGAACACCGGTTTGACATGTTCCAGCGTTCCCAGCACTTCAAAACAAACCGTTGGATCTTCGTAGATGAGCTGCAGTTTGGCAGAGTCGTTGCCCGGTTGAACCTTCCCAAAAACGTCCCGCAGCCAGTGTTCGTTCTGACCGGTGAAGTTCTCCGCCACCGTCCAGTAGAATGCATTGAAGAAGCCTTCCTTCTGCGAATGGAGGGTTTTATCGCTGCAAATCGACGTATACAGCGGATCGCTATCAATTGAGGCCATTGCGGATTCTTGGATTTTTGCAGCACACGCGAAAAATGTCAGCACCTAAACAGGTCGATGACTATTATTAGACTAGAATGCTCGGTGCGATGGCTGCTAGTGCGATGCGGTAAGTACCTATGTTCATTGCTCATATTGTATGTTCAGAGAGGAGCATGCGCACGTGAATAAACACGTGGCGAGCATGCGCCATGTTCTCTCCGATGCGAGTGTTTTGTTAACCGTTCGATGGAGTAGATTGGAGACGGAAAGTTCCTCGAACGACAAGGATCAGGCATCTAAATTAGAGCATTATTTAAGGAGATAAATCGATTTAAAGGTTTGGGAAACCCAGCGGCCGACAAATAATGATTTATGAAATATTTTATACTGGGAAATTTGGGTATGAAAATTTCGAGCATCTGAACACCCCCCAAATCGCGATTAGAGCATTATTTAAGGAGATAAATCGATTTTAAGGTTTGGGAAACCCAGCGGCTGACAAATAATGATTTAGGAAATATTTTATACTGGGAAATTTTGATATGAAAATTTCGAGCATCTGAACACCCCCCAAATCGCGATTAGAGCGTTACTTAAGGAGATAAATCGATTTAAAGGTTTGAGAAACCCAGCGGCCGACAAATGGTGATTTATGAAAGATTTTATACTGGGAAATTTGGGTATGAAAATTTCGAGCATCTGAACACCCCCCAAATCGCGATTAGAGCGTTATTTAAGGAGATAAATCGATTTAAAGGTTTGGGAAACCCAGCGGCCGACAAAAAATGATTTATGAAACATTTTATACTGGGAAATTTTGATATGAAAATTTCGAGCATCTGAACACCCCCCAAATCGCGATTAGAGCGTTACTTAAGGAGATAAATCGATTTAAAGGTTTGAGAAACCCAGCGGCCGACAAATGGTGATTTATGAAAGATTTTATACTGGGAAATTTGGGTATGAAAATTTCGAGCATCTGAACACCCCCCAAATCGCGATTAGAGCATTATTTAAGGAGATAAATCGATTTAAAGGTTTGGGAAACCCAGCGGCCGACAAAAAATGATTTATGAAACATTTTATACTGGGAAATTTTGATATGAAAATTTCGAGCATCTGAACACCCCCCAAATCGCGATTAGAGCATTATTTAAGGAGATAAATCGATTTAAAGGTTTGGGAAACCCAGCGGCCGACAAAAAATGATTTATGAAACATTTTATACTGGGAAATTTTGATATGAAAATTTCGAGCATCTGAACACCCCCCAAATCGCGATTAGAGCATTATTTAAGGAGATAAATCGATTTAAAGGTTTGGGAAACCCAGCGGCCGACAAAAAATGATTTATGAAACATTTTATACTGGGAAATTTTGATATGAAAATTTCGAGCATCTGAACACCCCCCAAATCGCGATTAGAGCATTATTTAAGGAGATAAATCGATTTTAAGGTTTGGGAAACCCAGCGGCTGACAAATAATGATTTAGGAAATATTTTATACTGGGAAATTTTGATATGAAAATTTCGAGCATCTGAACACCCCCCAAATCGCGATTAGAGCGTTACTTAAGGAGATAAATCGATTTAAAGGTTTGAGAAACCCAGCGGCCGACAAATGGTGATTTATGAAAGATTTTATACTGGGAAATTTGGGTATGAAAATTTCGAGCATCTGAACACCCCCCAAATCGCGATTAGAGCGTTATTTAAGGAGATAAATCGATTTAAAGGTTTGGGAAACCCAGCGGCCGACAAAAAATGATTTATGAAACATTTTATACTGGGAAATTTTGATATGAAAATTTCGAGCATCTGAACACCCCCCAAATCGCGATTAGAGCGTTACTTAAGGAGATAAATCGATTTAAAGGTTTGAGAAACCCAGCGGCCGACAAATGGTGATTTATGAAAGATTTTATACTGGGAAATTTGGGTATGAAAATTTCGAGCATCTGAACACCCCCCAAATCGCGATTAGAGCATTATTTAAGGAGATAAATCGATTTTAAGGTTTGGGAAACCCAGCGGCTGACAAATAATGATTTAGGAAATATTTTATACTGGGAAATTTGGGTATGAAAATTTCGAGCATCTGAACACCCCCCAAATCGCGATTAGAGCATTATTTAAGGAGATAAATCGATTTAAAGGTTTGGGAAACCCAGCGGCCGACAAATAATGATTTATGAAATATTTTATCCTGGGCAATTTGGGTATGAAAATTTCGAGCATCTGAACACCCCCCAAATCGCGATTAGAGCGTTATTTAAGGAGATAAATCGATTTAAAGGTTTGGGAAACCCAGCGGCCGACAAATGATGATTTATGAAATATTTTATCCTGGGAAATTTGGGTATGAAAATTTCGAGCATCTGAACACCCCCCAAATCGCGATTAGAGCGTTATTTAAGGAGATAAATCGATTTAAAGGTTTGGGAAACCCAGCGGCCGACAAATGATGATTTATGAAATATTTTGTACTGGGAAATTTGGGTATGAAAATTTCGAGCATCTGAACACCCCCCAAATCGCGATTAGAGCGTTATTTAAGGAGATAAATCGATTTAAAGGTTTGGGAAACCCAGCGGCCGACAAATGATGATTTATGAAATATTTTATCCTGGGAAATTTGGGTATGAAAATTTCGAGCATCTGAACACCCCCCAAATCGCGATTAGAGCGTTATTTAAGGAGATAAATCGATTTAAAGGTTTGGGAAATCCAGTGGCCGACAAATAATGATTTATGAAATATTTTATACTGGGAAATTTGGGTATGAAAATTTCGAGCATCTGAACACCCCCCAAATCGCGATTAGAGCGTTATTTAAGGAGATTAATCGATTTAAAGGTTTGGGAAACCCAGCGGCCGACAAATATTTATTTATGAAATATTTTATCCTGGGAAATTTGGGTATGAAAATTTCGAACATCTGAATACCCCCCAAATCGCGATTAGAGCGTTATTTAAGGAGATTAATCGATTTAAAGGTTTGGGAAACCCAGCGGCTGACAAATAATGATTATGAAATATTTTATCCTGGGAAATTTGGGTATGAAAATTTCGAGCATCTGAACACCCCCCAAATCGCGATTAGAGCGTTATTTAAGGAGATAAATCGATTTAAAGGTTTGGGAAATCCAGCGGCCGACAAATGATGATTTATGAAATATTTTATCCTGGGAAATTTGGGTATGAAAATTTCGAGCATCTGAACACCCCCCAAATCGCGATTAGAGCGTTATTTAAGGAGATAAATCGATTTAAAGGTTTTGGAAATCCAGTGGCCGACAAATAATGATTTATGAAATATTTTATACTGGGAAATTTGGGTATGAAAATTTCGAGCATCTGAACACCCCCCAAATCGCGATTAGAGCGTTATTTAAGGAGATTAATCGATTTAAAGGTTTGGGAAACCCAGCGGCCGACAAATATTTATTTATGAAATATTTTATCCTGGGAAATTTGGGTATGAAAATTTCGAACATCTGAATACCCCCCAAATCGCGATTAGAGCGTTATTTAAGGAGATAAATCGATTTAAAGGTTTGGGAAACCCAGCGGCTGACAAATAATGATTTATGAAATATTTTATCCTGGGAAATTTGGGTATGAAAATTTCGAGCATCTGAACACCCCCCAAATCGCGATTAGAGCGTTATTTAAGGAGATTAATCGATTTAAAGGTTTGGGAAATCCAGTGGCCGACAAATAATGATTTATGAAATATTTTGTACTGGGAAATTTGGGTATGAAAATTTCGAGCATCTGAACACCCCCCAAATCGCGATTAGAGCGTTATTTAAATAGATAAATCGATTTAAAGGTTTGGGAAACCCGGCGGCCGACAAATAATGATTTATGAAATATTTTATACTGGGAAATTTGGGTATGAAAATTTCGAGCATCTGAACACCCCCCAAATCGTGATTAGCGCGTTATTTAAGGAGATAAATCGATTTAAAGGTTTGGGAAACCCAGCGGCCGACAAATAATGATTTATGAAATATTTTATACTGGGAAATTTGGGTATGAAAATTTCGAGCATCTGAACACCCCCCAAATCGCGATAAGAGCGTTATTTAAGGAGATAAATCGATTTAAAGGTTTGGGAAACCCAGCGGCCGACAAATGATGATTTATGAAATATTTTATACTGGGAAATTTGGGTATGAAAATTTCGAGCATCTGAACACCCCCCAAATCGCGATTAGCGCGTTATTTAAGGAGATAAATCGATTTAAAGGTTTGGGAAACCCAGCGGCCGACAAATAATGATTTATGAAATATTTTATACTGGGAAATTTGGGTATGAAAATTTCGAGCATCTGAACACCCCCCAAATCGCGATTAGCGCGTTATTTAAGGAGATAAATCGATTTAAAGGTTTGGGAAACCCAGCGGCCGACAAATGATGATTTATGAAATATTTTATACTGGGAAATTTGGGTATGAAAATTTCGAGCATCTGAACACCCCCCAAATCGCGATTAGAGCGTTATTTAAGGAGATTAATCGATTTAAAGGTTTGGGAAACCCAGCGGCCGACAAATGATGATTTATGAAATATTTTATCCTGGGAAATTTGGGTATGAAAATTTCAAGCATCTGAACACCCTCCAAATCGCGATTAGAGCGTTATTTAAGGAGATAAATCGATTTAAAGGTTTGGGAAACCCAGCGGCTGTAAAATAATAATTTATGAAAAATTTTATACTGGGAAATTTGGGTATGAAAATTTCGAGCATCTGAACACCCCCCAAATCGCGATTAGAGCGTTATTTAAGGAGATTAATCGATTTAAAGGTTTGGGAAACCCAGCGGCCGACAAATATTTATTTATGAAATATTTTATCCTGGGAAATTTGGGTATGAAAATTTCGAACATCTGAATACCCCCCAAATCGCGATTAGAGCGTTATTTAAGGAGATTAATCGATTTAAAGGTTTGGGAAACCCAGCGGCTGACAAATAATGATTTATGAAATATTTTGTACTGGGAAATTTGGGTATGAAAATTTCGAACA